ATCAAACTGTAGGAGGAGTTATCCGAAAACACTATGCATGCATCTCTTATGCAAGTAAATACTGATAAAAAATGACCAATTTCAACTATCTCCCAAAAAAAAAACCAAATATTAATTAAAATCAAAATATATGTACAAACAGCCAGCAAAGTGAAAACTTCCAATTTGTAGGAGGAGTTATATGGAATAACTATATACCTATAAAGGAATGGACAGGGGTAAAACAATAAGCCCCCTAACTTATAGTTATGGGTGCATAAAAAGAAGAATAGAAAAGCCAAAGAAAACAAAGTTCGACTTACTAACAAATTAAGAGACGCACTCAGGTGGCTCTACTGGTGGCATCCATTGTGTTACTATATCTAGAAGTACAAATCTAGCGAATAGTCACATTCGGTAATGTTATAAATGAAGAAAAGGAGGACAAGATTATAGTCAATCAAAGTCAAAAACGTTTTTGAAAGGTGACTAACATTTCCACTGAAAAAAATCCATGCTGTATGGTTAAATTGGTGATTTCCTGAAAAGTGACTTAATTGTAGATTTTTTTTTTACCTGAATACGTAAGCTTTGACAATTTAATTTACTCTATGCAACTTATATGTGTGGATCTTATTGATCTGGACATATTCACATTTTTCCCAATCTGTTATAGTTCTCAAAGAACTTGGAATTTGGCAAAAGAAAACCTTGACATTTCCTTGGCAATAGCTCCAAAATGGGGTGTCTGGTTTTTCTGAAAATACCTAGGAAAAAAAGGTAACTTGGCCAGTTTATAATCGTTACTAAATGTAGGTTTGCTCATACTGCTTGCAATTTAGAGATACAAATTAACCAAAAACAACATTTTAATCCATATGTTCTATGTCTAGTAACAGTGGCCATGTTATATTATGGATCACATCCCCAGATACGAGTTATTAACTTGATTGCCATAAGGTAGCAATATACAGTTAAAGTGGCACTAGCTGTCAAATTCATGTTCACCGATTTGACTCAAATTCTCATATTTGATTTATAACAATGTAAAACATATATCCAAATTATAAAAAGTCTAAAATAAACCAAATACCGGGAATGGACTCGATAATATGTAGCTTCGTTTCATGTGTATTTTAGTGTAGACGCCATCTAATTAACTGTCGAGTTGACCCCCGAAGACCTCCGATTGCCATATAAGCGATATAAACATAAATATAGATATCAATAGATATCAGACTCGTGCATTTATATTTTTCTATGTCTGTTTAATTTTATATTATAGATTAAAAATATATGTTAATCATCGTTTTTAACTGGATCAGAATGATTTTTTGTGGATCGAATCAGTCAATCAAATGATTTACCTTTGTTTCACTTTCAATGTTGACATTATTTTCCTTCAAATAATTGAACACGCACAATGCATGCGCTATCAATCTCCAGCTAAGGGGTTAAATTGAAGTTCACATGAATACGGATTCAATGAGGTCGAATTAATCACTTGCAAGTGAATAGTTCATCATCAATGTTTCTTACCTTATTTTGACAAAATTGAACTTTACTGGCTGCTAAAAGCGATTTATCATTTCACTATTTCACTTTCATTAATGATTGAACAAATAAAAAATCATATTTTATATTTTTTATATATCTCGTAGCTAGTGCCCATTTAAGAAAACAATTAAAATTTGGTCAAAAGTAGAATTTGAATCTCCAGGAGTGATACCTTTTCTAACACTATTTACATGTATTTATCAAGGGGAACATAGTAAAGTGTGTCTTTCTATGTTGTGATGTTACACTATTGTTTCAGATAGGGGTAAAGGTTTGGTACAAATAAAACGCTTAAACCCGCTGCAATTGTTTGCACCTGTCCTAAGTCAGGAATCTGATGTTCAGTAGTTGTCGTTTGTTGATGTGGTTTATAAGTGTTTCTTGTTTCTTGTTTTTTATATAGATTAGACTGTTGGTTTTCCCGTTTGAATGGTTTTACACTAGCAATTTTTTGAGGCCCTCTATAGCTTGCTTGTTCGGTGTGAGCCAAGGCTCCGTGTTGAAGACCGTACTTTGACCTATAATGGTTTACTTTTATAAATTGTGACTTTGATGGAGAGTTGTCTCATTGGCACTCATACCACATCTTCTTAAAGTAAAGTGTTTACTATGTTAATTTGTATATATCATGTCTGACTGTAAATAAAATAAACCTATTTACTTACCCTCATACATTTAACCATCCCCCTTGCTCTTGCTTTCTTACAAATTAAGCTTACTATTTGTGTCATATATGTGCATATGTATGTAATCTGAGTATTTTCCATAGATTTGATTTCCAGTAGTTAAAATGGTTAATATTATGTTAAAAAGTTTGTGTGGATTTAAAGGACCTAAGGCTCGTCTTGATATGAAAATACTGACTGTCAGACAGAAAATAGCCCATAAAACATGTAAAAAAAATCTTGGTATTCATACAAACCCACTTTGAAGGCTTAAATTCAGTCATCAGCTGTTTAAAAATGACTATCACACAATAATTTCCACTTAAAAAATCAACCGCGACCAAAAAATGTGATACCTTACTCCTGACTATGTATTGCTACCTTATGTACTAGTATGGTAAGGTTTCGTAATATTTGGCAATTATTTTCAGAGAAGATTAATAAAAAGTTTTTGATGATAGACGGCCGAAAGCCTATTGTCGAATTGATGGCAAAAGCTCACATGGCCTTTTGTTCATGCTAGGTGAGCTAAACATTCATACAATTTGGAAATAATACCATGAAAGAGATGGTAAAAAAGGCATTTCCTAGTGCATATACCTTGGCGAAGTTGAAATCTGATAAAAGAACATAATTATATGAAGAATACACCTTAATCTACATGTATTAACTAATCCAAAATTTAGGATATTTACACTCAGAGTCTAATTTCCTATTAACAATCCAAACTTTTCTGATTTGGTTCCATAAACATATCCTCCAGAAATAGAAATTAATGAAACAACAAACACGGCTTTATCCACCTCATTTTTAGATTCATACCTCGAATTTGACATAAGCGTTCATCTCAGTACCAGAATCTATGACAAACAAGACGATTTGAATTTTTTATCAAATGCCCGCACCTTCGTAGCAATAAAGTTCCAACTTCGACAGCATATGAAATATACATTTCCCAACTCATTCGGTATTTAGGGACTTGCTGCTACAACGTCACCAGTGTCTGAGCAAAAAGTTGCCGAACCACTGAACCAGGGTTATGTCAGAGAACATCCTTTTTTTAAAAGTAAATGGAATATACCAATAACTTGTTGATAAATATTCGGTATCAACTTCACAAATGACGTATAACGATAAGTATAGATTCTAGGTACTGACGTTGTTTATAATCTTATAAATAACGTGTTCTAGTGTTCTTTAATTTGTCTTTGTCAATTATTATCCTTTACTGTTTAGTCCATTTTGGCGTGGCTTGGTACTTATGCATCCCGCCAATGTGTAGTTGTACTGTGGTCATTTTATGTATTCTTGTCTTTCACTTTTGCTTATGTGCTTTGTCTATATGGCATTTTGTTTTTCTTTGTTGAGATATTTGTTTGTTTTTTAGTGATTGAGATTATAACATGATGTTGACTGCTGTACCCCTTTTTTCAGACATTTTTACCAATTATGTGTGTTTCTTTTGATCACACATTGTTGTCAATATAATGGAGTTTTATGTGACTGTCATACAAGTGAGAGGTTTGGCTAGCTACAAAACCTGGTTTAATCCACCATTTTTTACGTGAGGAAATGCCTGTACCAAGTCAGTAACATGACAGTTGTTATCCATTCGTTTGATGTGTTTGAGCTTTTGATTTTGCTATTTGATAAGGGACTTTCCGTTTTGAATTTTCCTGGGAGAATGGTATCTTTTATATTTCACTTCTGACCAGGCTACTTTCTAAAGCCTCAAAACTGCCTCAAGATGATTTCAGATGGACGGTAAAATTACTACTCCAGTTTTCAGTTGAAGGCAATCCAATGGTTATTGGCAGGTTAAAAAATACAACTGTAAATTTCATCTATGTGTATTTTGATCAATGATTTTCCAGAACTTTGGCTTCCATGTTAACCAAACGATCTTACATATTTTTGTAGAAAAAAAACTAAAATCAGCAGTATAAATATTGTTCAATAAAATTCAGGAAAAACATCACAGCATTAAACAGTCCATACATTATACACATAATGGCACTGATTGGCAAGTCTTTACAGATATCCATTATATAAATCATTACAGATATCCATTAATTTAGTCTTTACAGATATCCATTATGTAAATTATTTGATTCCTGACTTCATTCATTACAATATACACAAATGCTCAAATTTCCACCCATATTAACACATGTTGTCAAATTTCCACCCATATTAACACATGTTGTCAAATTTCCACCCATATTAACACATGTTGTCCAATTTCAATCCGTATTAACACATGTTGTCAAATTTCCATCCATATTAACACATGTGTCAAATTTCCATCCATATTAACACATGTTGTCAAATTTCCATCCATATTAACACATGTTGTCAAATTTCCACCCATATTAACAGATGTTGTCAAATTTCCACCCATATTAACACATGTGTTCAGTTAACTGTATATATCAATTAGAACTTGATATTAATAATTTCTAAATGCTCTTTATAAAAGTCATTAATAAATAATTATACACACAAAATTACAAATTTGTTATATAACCCGTTGCTAATTTTCTCGTTTTTAATAGATACATGAATTCATATGACCACATATTGTATTCTATCTAACAAGCTTCTGTCACCAATATCTTAAATAAAATCCTTATAATAAACATAATGTACTAAATAATTACCACTTCGTAAAGATATTGTCATGTGACAGACATGTGAATTTAAGAACACTGAGAGTTTTGTTGTTGGTGTGGCTGTTCTTAACAAGCTATAATTACAGCACTTAATGTTCACTAAACATAATCCGTTTCTAAGGTCTATGTGTTTAAATGTTCAATTAACATAATCTGTTTCTAAGAACCATGTGTTTAAATGTTCAATTAACATAATTCGTTTCTAAGATCCATGTGTTTAAATGTTCACTTAAAATAATCCGTTTCTAAGAACCATGTGTTTAAATGTTCAATTAACATAATCCGTTTCTAAGGTAGAAAACTAAAAGAACAGCACTTAATGTTCACTAAACATAATCCGTTTCTAAGGTCCATGTGTTTAAATGTTTAATTAACATAATCCGTTTCTAAAAACCATGTGTTTAAATGTTCATTTAACATAATCCGTTTCTAAGGTCCATGTGTTTAAATGTTCCAACAACATAAACTGTTTCTAAGAACCATGTGTTAAAAGGTTCAATTTACATAATCCGTTTCTAAGATCCATGTGTTTAAATGTTAAATTAACATAATCCATTTCTAAGAACCATGTGTTAAAATGTTCAATTTACATAATCCGTTTCTAAGATCTATGTGTTAAAATGTTCAATTAACAGTATCCGTTTCTAGGATCCACGTGTTTAAATTTCAATAACAATCCATTTCTAAGATCCATGTGTTTAAATTTCAATAGCATACTATTTCTAAGATCCATTTGTTTTAATGTTCAATAACAATCTATTTCTAAGATCCATGTGTTTAAATTTCAATAACAATCCATTTCTAAGATCCATGTGTTTAAATGTTCAATAACAATCCATTTCTAAGATCCATGTGTTTAAATGTTCAATTAACATAATCCGTTTCGAAGATCCATGTGTTTAAATGTTCAATAACAATCCATTTCTAACATATAAGTGCTTAAATGTTCACTTAACCCATGTGTTCAAATTTCGATTACAATTCATTTCTTAGATCCATGTGTTTAAATGTTTTAAAAAAATCCATTTCTAAGATCCATGTGTTTAAATGTTCAATAATAATCCTTTTTTAAGATTCATGTGTTTAAATGTAAAATTAAAAGAATCCTTTTCTAAGATCCGTGTGTTAAAATGTAAAATTGAAAGAATCATTTCCTAAGATCCATGTGTTTTAATGTAAAATTAAAAGAATCCTTTTCTAAGATCCCTGTGTTTAAATGGTAATGTAAGCAGTCAGTTTTTCTTATAGATCTCATCGCTATTTGAGAATCTGCAACAAATCTTCGCAAGATTTTGTGACACTTGACCTATTGACTTCATACAACAATCGCTTTTGTTTTGTGGAGTCCAACATGGTTTTGACGAGTTTTCTCTTCTGATGTCAAAATTTTAAAGGAACGTCATATATGTTCAGTAGTTGCTGACAAATAGCGATAAGGTGCATTATGGGTAGTTTCTAATTGTTTACATCCTATGGATAAGCCTGTGTCATGACTCGGTTTTCACTTTTATCCCTCTTATGAACAATGGTTAAAAAAAAATTACAGTAATACCACAATCACTGATAGCAGTATTTCATTTGTTTATGTTATTATCTTTTATTTTGAACATATAATATTTCATGAAACATAAAAACTTTTTTAAATCTAGATGCGAGACATTTTTTTGTTACAAATTACTAAAATTGTATAACAAACTACACAGAGATTTATAGTAAACTCGAAACAATTTTTAAGGGCTGTTCTATAAAAAAGACATACATATATGTGACTAAAAGAAATAGTAAACTTCAAAATCTCAACTTTTCATGGTAGTCCAAACTTCTATGTACAGTAAAAATGTAAGAAGAATTGTAAATTTCCTCTAAAGATAATAAACCCACTTTCAAAGTGCCTCCCTGTACGGGGCGCCGAATAGGACTTGAACTTTTTGTAATCAAAATCAATTTTGTGTACACAAAATTCAATTCTGTCATAAAAAAATCATTTTTGTCTTACAAAACTATGTGATACAGACATGTTTTATGAAAACTTCAATTTTGTATGACAAAATTCATTTTTGTAGACAAAATAATTTTTTGTAGACAAAATTCATTTTTATCATGATAAAATTCAATTTCGTCAAATAGGTATGCAAATATAAACTTATTTGCATACAAAATTGACTTTTGTTACCTGATATGGAAATTAAAACACAAATACCAATTTTGTGAGTCAAAATTGAATTTGTACGCAATTAACATGTTGATTAAATTAGCATTCTGTGATTTTGTAATTAAAGTTATTATTTGTGTAGACAAAATTGAGTTTTGTTAGACAGAAGTGATAATTTAACACAAAATTGACTTTGGTGTGTGACAAAAATGACTACTGTGACACAAAATTGACTTTTGTGTGTGACAAACTTGACTTTTGCATGTGACACAAAATTGACTTTTGTGTGTGATAAAAAAGACTTTTGTGTGTGACAAAAATGACTTTTGTGACACAAAATTGACTTTTGTGTGTGACAAAAATGGCTTTTTTGTGTGACAAAAATGACTTTTGTGACACATAATAGACTTTTGTAACACAAAATTGACTTTTGAGACACATATTTGACTTTTGCAACACAAAATTGACTTTTGTGACACATGATTGACTTTTGTAACATAAAATTGACTTTTGTGACACATAATTGACTTGTGTGTGTGAAAAAATGATTTTTGTGTGTGACAAAAATGACTTTTGTGACATAAAAATGACTTTTGTGGCACAAAATTGACTTTTGTGCTAAATTTTCACTTCTGTTTAACAAAACCCAATTTTGTCTACACAAAAATAAACACAAAATTGAATTTTGTGACAAAATCTCAGTTTTGTATGCAAATTGGTTCACAGAATCCAAACTAAACTAACTTGCTTACAAAATTGACTTTTGTCGCCCAATTTTCAAATAAGGTAACAAAAGTGAAGTCTGTGATACAAAAATGAATGTTGTCTTGACAAAAGTAATTTTGTCCACTGAAAGATAATTTTGTATGACAAAATTTAAATTTGCAGTATGCTACAAATTTTTTTAAACTGAACTCATTTTTGTTAAACAAAACTCACTTTTGTCCGTACAAAATTGAATTTCGAGTACAAAACCACAAGAGTCCCGTTCGTACTGGTACTATATATGTTTTAATGGAACAATCCTAAAACAATTGGGAAGATGTTTAAAGTATACTAATCAAATCACAAAAACATATAGTTCAAAACTTTGACAAGATTTCACACTAATTCATATATGCCTTTAGTAAATGTATTGCTTTAAATAATATTTATATAGATTAGATCTTACAATAAATATATTGGTAAAACTTCAGTACGAATCTACTTATTTTATAAATATGACCATATAATTGTGCAATGTTTTGACACAAATGATATAAAAGGCATTCAGCAGATTTATTTACATAAAATTATCAAATTCTTAAATAACAAAAAGTAAAATCACAAAAATACTGAACTCCGAAGAAAATTCAAAAAGGAAAGTCCTTAATCAAATGGCAAAATCAAAAGCTCAAACACATCAAACGAATGGATAACAACTGTCATATTCCTGACTTGGTACAGGCATTTTCTTATCTAGAAAATGATGGATTGAACCTGGTTTTATAGCTAGCTAAACCTCTCACTTGTATGACAATCGCATCAAATTCCATTATATTTACAACGATGCGTGATCAAAACAAACAAACACAATAGGTAAAAATGTCAAAAATAGGGGTACTGCAGTCAACATTGTGTGATCATCTTAATCACTATAAAAGCAAACAAATGTAATACAGAAGCACAAAATGGCATACATCAAATTAAACATCCTCATTTTACTTTTTTATTATACGATTTTATTTATCTATGTAAAATCCACCCATAAAGGATTAAAAGATTTCAAGTACTGGCGTAGAATCGCGCGTTTGACGTCACACAGGTAGATATAAAATAATTTTGTCGTTCAAAATATGACGGGATACATATGTTTTTATTATATAAAATGAAATAAATCCAACAAAATCATACTTTAGGGTAAAGTTCAATTAGTGGTGATTAAAACCTTTATGTACAAAATAGCAGATCAATACTTATGCTATGCAGTACTCATTTACAATGTCTAAAATCCACCAGTGAACTCTCACCTCTACGCAATAATAATAATAATAATAATGAAAAACATAACCCTAAATCCAACTGTGTATATCCAATCCGTTCAGTGAATTTATTTCACATGTTTAACCTTCTTGAATTAAAAATTCATTTTACATTTTAAACTTCTTAAAATAAAATTTCATTTTTACATGTTTAACATTTTTCAAATTAGAATTCATTTTACATATTTAACCTTCTTAAATTAGGAATTTATTTCATATGTTGAACCTTATTTTTCATTTGCTAGTTAAATAATTGGTTTTTTTTAACAAATATGTCTCAGTATTATTAAAAGAAAATTACATGTAAATCATTAAACATAATGTGTTATCCCTATAAAATTGGTTGTATTTATGAAAGCAATAAACATGGACTAGTGAACTTAATTTTGACCACTATAACGCAATGAATTCAATGTTTTCCCATCACCAAATACCAAACATGTGATATATTTCTTAGTCACATCAGACAATAAATCTGGGTCATACATATCAGTTTTTGCCCTCTTCTTTAATCTATCCAATAAAACGTTCATGTATTTCCTAGCAATTGCTGCTGACTTATTTTGAGCATCACGTTCTCCATTTTTAGTTATAAGCTTTTGTATGGCCTCCTCAGCAATGCCATTCTGAATGGTAGGAAAACTTTACAATCTGTATCTATTTTCATCTTTAAGTGGGTTCCAAAAACAAAACTAGAACTATGAGTGAACTCTTGAATTGTTTTACATTTATCATTTCGGGGCCTTTTATAGCCGACTATGCGGTATGGGCTTTGCTCATTGCTGAAGGCCGTACGGTGACCTATAGTTGTTAATTTCTGTGTCATTTGGTCTCTTGTGGAGAGTTGTCTCATTAGTAATCATACCGCATCTTCTTATTTTTATATCATAAAGTATACCCTCTTCCCGTTATACTATTAGTATGTTTCTTACCTCCCCCTTAACATGTAGGACAAGATAAATATTTTTTATGCACATGATTACATCCCCATGTAGTGTCCTACAACTGTGTAAAGTTAACCAATATTCTTCTAGCCCTTTAGGAGGAGTTGCACTAACTAACAATTTTAACTAGATACACATATTCATTTCCTGTTCATTGAACCGTAAAACCTGGGTCAAATCCTTATTTGGCATATATTTCAAAGTTTATCATAAGACTGAAAATATGTACTAGTTTTCGAGTTAATGTAACCAAAACTTCATGGTAATTGACCAAAATCTTTTAACTTAATACAATACTGACAGACACAGACTGGAAAACATAATACACCCTACTATGGTATGCAACGCATAAAACCAAGTATCAATGAAAGTTTGTTTACTTACAAGGAAGTAATCAAACTTGTAACGGGGAATTTTAACTCATCAATAACTCAAATAAGTCACAAAGCATGTACAACTGTCTGCTGCTGGTTTTATTTTATACATTAACTTTTAAGTAACAGTAACTGTTCATTTCATTTTGTTTCGTTTCGTGACGCTTTTTTTTCCGTTTCGCACTTTACTTTAAATATCTAAGCTATCAAATTTAAAAAACAATATTTAGAATTTTAAAATTTTAATTATTTGGTGAAAATTTCAAAATTTCTAAAATTTTCAAAAATTTGGAATTTTGATATTTTAAAACTTTGATCAAAATTCCAAAAATCTAAACTTTAAAAACTTTTAAACATTTTGAATTGATAAGTGTTACACGGGACGCTGTAGCTACCCGACGGGTATTTTAAAAAAAAAACGGGTAAGGTGTGAATTATGCATGTTTTTGATTACACCCCCCCCCCCCCTTTGGTATCTTCATCCTTCTTTTTTGTGACCACATGACAACTAATATTACCATGGACTTGCTGACATTAATTAATCAACATTAATAATCAAAGTTAATCCCATTTTTTCTATTTGTGCCATGATTTTCAACATTCAGTTTTCTACGTTGTGTTCTGACTTTTCACCATTTTTCTTTCTTCTATTTTATTCATTGGCAATGTTTCTTTGCTTATTTTGACAAATTTGAACAAAATTGGTTGCTAAAAACGAATTATTAATTCATAATTTTACCTTTAGTAATGATTGAACCAAACAAAATCATATTCTAATTTTGTTCATATTTCGTAGCTTTAGTGCCCCTTTAAGGGAAATAACTCCTAATTGATAAAATTGAGTAAATCTCAAGGATTAACTGGATATACAACCGGCAGTGAAACCCATGCCACAGTAGGGCGTCCGTTGTGCTGTATGGGATGTATGAATTTGAAGTCACGAATGGTCAGAGTTTTAGCGTTAAATCATATGCATCATGTAAAGAGATAGTACCACGCTCAATGTATTCTAACGAACCCTTAAAAACACTCGTTTATGTTACCCTTTCGATACTCTTAATTTCTGTCCTTATACACATTGCCCTTTTTCTATTGGCCATACCGATCGACCTTCGAATGCACTACTGATCTACGTATAAGGGTCTGGATGGGGTTTACGGAATAGAAAATTATGGGCAAAATGTGCAGACTAAAGAACCAAAAAAAAAAAAAAGAAAAGAGTAAAATAGGCAAAAAAATAAAGAATAGAGAATGAGATGCTGAAATATAAAGAATAGAAAAAAAACGACCTAAAATATTAATAATGAATCCCCAATCCAGACACTCACGTGCTGTCTTAACTACTAATTGTTTTTGTCCTGAACATGTATAAAACCATTGTCTCTGGACGTAAAGTTTCATAAAATCGATCAATCAATCAATCTACAAATGTAATTGAGTTGGGACATTAATTTCCGTCATCTTTTTAGTCAGGTATCTTTTAGAAGTCATGAATGTATCAAATATATTCAAGAAATCGAACGTTTTGGACAATGTTCTACTGTGATAAAATAGGAAGTTTTCTTTTTCATCAAGCTTGATTTTTAAGTTAAAATCAACATAATTTTAGAATGTTAATAGTAATTTAAACGTAGAAACCATATCAGGAGATATCAGGACAATATTTACCATGATAATGATGGTCACGTGTTAAAACAAGACACGTGTTAAAACAAGTCAAGGTAAGCAAGCTATATATATCCGATCATAATTATAACTGATCTTTAGACAAGGAAGTTTGAAAGATACAACAAAATGGCGATGTCGGTGGGGATGAAAGGAGAAAATTTGAAAGAAGATATTGATGATCTGCTAATTTGTACAATCTGTTTGGAGACATTCAAAGAACCTAAGTATCTGCCGTGTCTGCATACGTTTTGTAAGTCGTGTATTAATACATATATTGGTTCAACCGTGAAAGGAAACAATCCGAATGGATTCAAATGTCCCATATGTCGTCGATCTGTGCCAATAGGTGAAAATGATGAGAAGCCTGACACTTGGGCAAATAATTTACCTGGGAACCATTTTATCGCATCACTTATAGATAAAAGGGAATTACAGAAACCCGATAAGCTATGTGATACTTGTTACCAGGACAAACAAAAAGCTCTTTCTTTCTGTACTGTTTGTGAAGAGGCATACTGTGAATCGTGCAGAAAGGGCCACACAATTTATAAAATAACAAAAAGTCATGAATTAGTACCCATTAAAGATATTAATGCAGACACTTCCGTTTCCGGTCTTTATGCTCATGTTGCTTGTAAAGAACATCCCTACAAGACGTTAGAAGTTTATTGTCAGGATCATTCAAAACCTTGTTGTACAGTTTGTGCCACTGTCCACCACAGAAAATGTGAACAGGTTGTCACTATTGATAAAGCGGTGACTGGGATAAAAGCATCCGAAAAAGCACAAAACCTTATGAAAAAGTTAACAGAAACGAGTACCACATTAGGGAAAGTTCTTCAAAACCAAAAAACTAATAAAGAAAACTTTGAAAACGGAATAGAAATAGTTCTACACGAAATCATAAATTTGAGAGAAAAAGTTTGTAAACATTTAAAAGAACTGGAGGAAAAACTGAAGGAGGAGGCCAACAGTAGCAGGAAAGAAAAAGTAATTAAGCTTGATGACAAAACAGCAGATTTATCCAGCCTAAAGAAGATAGTTGATAACTGGAAGAATATATTCGAAGCTTGTATTTCTCAAGGATCAGAAATACAATGTCTGGTCAAGATGGACGAGATTTTAAACAACCTTCCTCAAACTGTAACTGACATTTCTAAACTTCTACGTAAAATAAGGACTATATCCGTAAAGTTTGAACATACAGATATCATTTCAGACATTAGTTCTCTCGGCAGTTTGATTTTTAATGAGCGCCTGCCTTCTATTCCCGGAATGAAGATAGCAAATTACCATACCGGGAAAATCAGAATAGTGTTCACAATTAATGTGACAACACCTGCTGATAGTGGGATATATTTTAATAATGATATTATTTTGACCCATAAAAGTCAAAATAAGATCGTGTACTATAACTTCAAAGGGCAACAACAAGAACAGTTAAATATTCCTCACCTTTTAACAGACATAAGCAAAGTGAACGATCAAACAGTCGCTGTATCGTCCACTGAAATGAAAATATTGGTTCTTAAAGTTAAACCTCTAACTATCTTAAAGACTTTGAATATCAGCAATCCTGTTTGGGGTATTTCGTTCTGTGAAAACGAATTTGTGACTGCTTATAGTTATAAAATATCTTGGTTAAATGCTGAAAATGGTACAGTAGTTAGAAGTCAACCAACAACAGTAGACACAAGATATGTTTATTGTTATCAGAAAAATGAGTATATTTACTGGGATAGCGGACATTCTATTAAAAGAGAGAGCAATGATGGAAAAGGATTTACGTACAACCATAGTCTGTTGCAACGCCCCTTCTCCCAGGACGTAGATAGCGACGGAAACATTTATACAACCGGATATGATTCCAGAAACATTCATCAGTTGACATCTACTGGAAAACTCGTACGAATCATTCCCATATCAGATATAGATAATACCATCACAGCTCCGCCGTGGGTAATAAGGTTCCAGTCAAATAGTAATAGATTTCTACTAACATTTGATAGTGGTGCTACTAAAGTCCTTGTGTGTGAAATTGATTAGATTCATTTAGAAGTGGAACTATTAAAAACTGACATGCGAAGGGGACAAAGGTTGTCTGCAGGGAGAATGAGCCCATATCTTGTGAAAATTTCGAATGAATGACATATGATATAGTCAGTACTTAACCTTCCCGAAAATTGATTTAGTTTGTTATATTGAACTCTCTTTATCTAGTGAAGAGAACGTGTCAAGGATAAAACAATATAGTAATTGATAGTTGTATTTTGTGTTGATTCTTAGTATCTTAATTATAAGTTTATTTGAAATGTATTAAGATTAAAAACAATATTATGGGATAGAGGTTAGATTCCATTTTTATCAAAATTTATTTTTTTCCCGATGGATAGCCAGATCGTGTTTATTTATAGTAACCAGAATAACAATAGATGGTCGATTCTAGATATAAAAGGATTATATCATTTAAAAATAAGATTCGCCATTCAATCAAATGATAAAATGTTTAATAAGAAACATGCAGACTGTACTAAAATAAAAGCGAAAAAGGTCTCACATTTGTCCTAATAAGTATTCAGGAAAAGATTCTAATGTTGAAGACTAATCGATTTGGCATTAGGTTCTGCTAGTTTCAATGTCTCGCCTGTGTGGCATAGTAATAATGTTTGATGAAATTTGCTGTTATAAAATTTTGAAATACTTTTAAATTCAGGAATATGTCTTCCTCACTCTACGCTCTGTTTCGGATATGGGTATATCTTAGGTCCTTTTTGGTTTTATCTACTCTTCAAATTTTTTAAGTTTGTATTAGATTTTGGATTTTCATGTTTTTCATCTCGAGTAACACTATTTAGAGATTAACTTTCTAAATTTGTATCTGGTGCAGGGAAATTGGTACCGTGGATGTTACTGAATGTGAGACCTGGATATGCTATCCTGGAGGTGGCGTCGGCGTTACCTGTTGATAAGACGTTTTATTTCACAGTTGGTAGAAGAGCTGAGCTATTCATATTTTGTATACAGATGCCTTATGGACGAATTAGGATATCCTTTGTCCTTGTCTTTAATTTCATGGTTAAGTGACTGTTCATAAAAACGTTTAGGGTGTTACATGTGGAGCAGGATCTGCTTCCCCTTTCGAAGCACCTGAGATCACCCCGAGTTTTTCGCGAGGTTCGGGGTGCTCAGTCTTTAGTTTTCCATGTTGTGTCTTGTGTGCTCTTGTTTTTATTTTCGTTGTTTTTCGTATTTAGCCATGCCATTGTCAGTTTGTTTTCTAAATATGTCCTGTACCAAGCCAGGAATATGGCAGTTGTTATCAAATAGTCCGTTTCTGTGAATGTTGGCGTTTGTTTTTGTTACAGTTCAGTGTTTCTGTTGTTCCGTTGTTTTTCCTCTTATAGTTGATGTGTTTCCCTCAGTTTTAGTTTGTAACCCGGATTTGTTTTCTCTTAATCGATTTATGACTTTTGAACAGCGGTATACTACTGTTGCCTTTATTTATTCGACTTACGAGTTTCAATGTCCCATTGGTATCGTTCGCCTCTCTTTTCTTATCACGTTTCAGTAATAATGTTACTTTATCTGATAAACAGAATCCTTTCAAGATATGTCTGTCAGACAGGGTCCACCTGACTATGATCTCATCTCAATGATTTAGTCTTTATGGAAAGGTCTGTACCAGATCCTCGAAGTAATAGGTAAACTAAATTTGGTGTATCGATAGATTATAAAGTGCACAAGTCCGTCCGACATGGTTAACCGGACATTACACTCGGTGTATTGTTCAACATTAAGTTATGTCCATTTCTCAGATACTATAATATAACTATGTTGTTTTCTATGTTGTGTTTTTGTACTATTATTTGTCTGTTTGTCTTTTTCTTTTTTATCCATGGCATTGTCAGTTTAATTTCGAGTTTGAATGCCCCTCTGGTATCTTTCGCCTCTCTTTAACAATTTTACTATATTGGGTGTACTAGTATGCAGCTATCGTAAGGTATAGCCGACTAAGTACTGACTAAGTAGCAAAATATCATTTAGCGAAACAGGGATAGAGTAAGAATGTAACCTTGAGACAAATTGAAAATCTGACGTGAACAAACCATGTCTCAAAAAGTACTAATAAATAAGCAATGGTATCTTTGAAAAATCATACGAGTAACATAGATCGTTTCAGATTATTATTCATGGACAACCAAAACACATCAGAGCAATGCAACAGGAGACGAAATGCTTTAATTTTGATCAATAAATGTTTAAATATTGTCAGAACCATTATCGACCTACTGTCACACTCAAGCCTTCTTCCTTCGCAATTCGTCGAAGTTATTTAAAGGTTTTTGTAACTTAGAGCTTACCCTGATCACGATGCCCTCGTCGTTCTGATTGTTGCTACGTTTACCATGTCTCAAGCGGTAATTGTTCGTGTTTAAACGGATGATTAGTCACTGCCCTACCGCAAGATTCATTCAACATAATCATTGACGGCCGCGTGTGATCATAACGTGTCGTTTTACCTTCTTTTTTCAATTTCACTCCAGATTTTATTCTTACTTCGTTCCTGTTCACCGAAAAAGAACCTTGATACTGAGTCAGTATGTCGTCGATTACTCTTCCGAATTTCTACGTCTGTACAAAAACCATTGTTGATTTATTAGTATTCAATTGCTGTTCTGGCAGAATCCCTATTTTGAAATTATGATGTTACGGATACATCTCATCAGAAACTGTACTAAATAATTTAAAGAATAAACAAGACTGGATTACAGAATTTTCATTAGTTAAAAAAGCTATACCAAAGCACTGGCAAAATATTTTAAAATAAGAAAGCTCTTACAAAACAGTTGTCAATATAAAAACATTGGTGAAGTTAAATATACTACTAAAACATGAAAGGGGTAGGTCCGGTAAGGGCCGATTTTGGCCTCAAAATTCAGGTTCATTTGAAGAAAGATTTTGGACACTTTTTAAACACTAAAGAGTCTACTTCAGTCGATTCTATTAGTTTATGTGAAAGATTTGAACTGATTTAGTCATTATAGACGCTCAAATTCAAGCTTAAATATGAAAAATCTTATCAAATATGCCATAATATGTCACTTTTCAGATGATTTTTGTCAAAAATGAAAGTGGCCGCATCCGTGTTCATTCTCAACCTTTATATATGTTATGTATTATCATCAAAAAAAACTTACATTTAAATATTAAGAATGAACACAAATGCGGCCACTTCCATTTCAGACGGAAACCGTCTAAAAATTAACCAAAATGCTAAAATTTCGAAGATTTCAGTAATTTAGCATGACGTAATGATGCTAGTACCCGAAACATGTGCATTGTATTGTCAAAAACAGCCCATATTTATGTAACAGAAGTAATCTTCTTTCCAATAAATAGCTTAAAATTTACATTTTAACAATTTTGTAAAACTGCTATATTTTGGGGCCAAAAAGGGGTCTTACTGGGCCTACTCCTTTCCCCAGATATGAGTAACAAGGAAGTATATACTTTCTTGCAAAGTTAATTTACACATGATAAACCGACAGGAGATTAAATGTGGGAAAGAATTCTTCATAAAAAAAATGACTACAAAATTGAAGTCCACATTTAACTTTAATTTTAACTACCTTGAAAACAACAAATTTAAAATGTTTATTAAATAAATGGAAAATAATACATTATATATTAGCCTGTAATGAATTACTTTATAAATGGAAAATAGTACCAAGCGGTTTGTGCTTCCATTGTAAGCAACATGATGATTTTTTGACTGTCCCTCTGGTATCTTTCGTCCCTCTTTTGTCCTGTTCATATAATGTTCATTATTGGCATAAGGTTGACCAGCTATTAGCATTTTTGAGAATAGATAAGCATATACTTAGTCTTGAAAGTTTAGTAACCGGCTATAAAATTGAAGATGAAGCTTATTTTGATATGAACTATCTATTAACTTTAATTTTCTTTTCCATCTATAAAGCATATTATATGTCTTACAAAAAAGATAAGATCATTGATATCTTAAAAATCTTCAAAAATGAAATCTTGGACATTATTATCATAAATAAAAAATAAAATCAGAAGCAAATAAAAACAAAACAAGAAAATAATACTTAAAACATGGGAATATTTCGAATTCCTTGAAATTAAATGATAATTATTAGATACATGTCCTAGCTGTTACCTCATTTTAATACATGACTGCACATGTGTCCAGTCAGTTGGTGTGCATTAACTGAAATTCGCAATTTTACTCTTTTATAACTTATTACAGCTACACTGAATTAGTATTGTTATTAAATGTTTATTCCTGTTCACAATGCAAAATTATAACGAGCAGGAGAGCGAGCAGATTACACAACACAATGCAACGTTACTGCATACATGTATAATATGAAGACCACGTGTACTTTCGAACAACTTTTGATATTTGACTTTATCATAGAAATTAACATTTACTGTTAAAAAAATGAAGTTGTACTCATAATGTGTGAAAAAAACATTCTTACCTCATCATCCAAGACTTCCTATATAATTCAGTGGTGTAAACAAAACAAAACATTTTAAGTTCAAAATTCTATTGTCGGCTGAAGAGTCATGCTATCAGTATCAAAGATCATCATCAATTTCGCGGTTCAGTGAAGCTTTAATAAAAAAAATCATATACAGTATAGGTTAAGAAACGTACCGTATTCCGGTAAAACAAATTTATTATGTAGAACTGTTCTAATGTATTGATCTGTATCAATATAACTTACTTTATAGATATACATTATTGAATATCTTTCCCTAGATATTCAAAATCTAATTTAAAGGGATACTTAATTGAAGCTGTAGATTGAGTAAATTGTTAACAGCAAAGGTGCAATAAAATTGATAAATTAAAAAAAAAAAAGAATTCATTCAATGCTTCAAATCAAATTCAAGAAATGCAGAATGCTGTGATGGGATTGTTTACGGTTTTTTTTGTGCTTTGAAATGGTAATAAAATGCTTCAAACATTTGAATTCTAATTCTTTGCTTTTGGAATAAAAACAGTTATTTTGAATTACGGTATCTGTTCAAAAATCAATATCCCTTCAGGTTTCTTGATCTTTTACAAAAATTGATAAAGTTGAGGTAGAGTCGCATTAAACATGTTTGGCACAGTTTTAAGTCTGAAATGTTTAAACCAAATCATTCTTAAAATTTGAAAACATGTTATATATTTGAACACAATCGGCAAATAAAAATGTTCTAGTTTAAAAACTATAGCAGTTGTTCAGATAAAGAATAAACAAATATTGACCCGTGTTCAACACCCTCTGATTCTAGATATGTGAATTAAGAAGTT